AAAAAGAGCCCTGGCTGGTGTGGCTCAGTGGATTGAGTGCAGGCCTTCAAACCAGGGGGTCGCTGGTTCGATTCCCAGTCAGGGCACATGCCTGGGTTGTGGGCCAGGTCCCGGGTAGGGGGCACACAAGAGGCAACCACATATTGATGTTTCCCTCTCTCTTCCCCTCTAAGAATAAAGAAATTTTTTTAAAGATTTTATTTATTTATCTTTAGAGGGGAAGGGAAGGAGAGAGGGAGTTTTGGGTCTTGGGTTGGGGGAAATTTTTTAAAAATTAAAAATAAAAGAAAAGAAAAAGAAAAAAAGAACAATACATGTTTGTTGAAGAATGAACCAGAGTGAGGTAGAAAGCAGGCACCTCTCCATATGCAAAATGGACATTACAGCAGAGCCCACCCCAGATGTTGGTTAGAAAGACTGAGTGATTCTGCCCAGCACTCAGCGCAGGGCAAGGGCAGAGGCGCGCCCACGAAGGGGCAGTTCGATGCAGTCCGACTCCCTTTGCTGCCCTGGGAAGAGCTGAGGCCCTGTCACTGTCTAACAAATCTTCTTCTCCTCAGGGTGTGTCCATTTTGAAATCTATAACACAGAGATAATAACAGTATTCCCATACTGTTCAGATCTTAGGGATAACTAAGGCAATTCATATTAAGCACTTAGAATATTGTTTGGCTCATGGTCAAAGCTCCACGAAAACTTAAAGAAACAAGTTGGCCTCGCTAAAATAAATAAATATATACATATAATTTTTTTTAAGTTGGCCTCAAAGTCGCGGGCCAGTGGAGAGGGCCCCAGGTCCCAGGCTGAGAAAGGATGTCCTCTTGGGCAGCCCTGGGAGGCAAGGTCTCCGGGGACTACGACTCTGGGCACGGCAGGCCACAGTAGGGTACACTGGGAGTTGTAGTCCTCGCCGGCTTAGGACGCCCACGGATGCAAGGCATCCGGGATGCTCTTGGGGATTTGGGATGGGCGCCCTGAGCAGGTTACCACCAGTCTCTATCCGGGCTGGCTGTAACGATGGGCATATGCCCTCTCTTGTCATTGCAGTGTCCCAACCTCCCCAAGGAGGTATTATTGCTACCATTTCCCAGATGAGGAAACTGAGACTCAGAAAAAGGCCCAAACGGGAGAACCAAGATCGGCTGACCACAGAGTGCTCTTTGTACACGGATCCTTGCTTCTCCATCTGCGGCTGGGAGCGAGGGTCAACTTCCTGTAAAGCAAAGGCTCTTTGAACGGTCACAGACTCGTATTAATTTTACAGATGAGAGACTATGTCAGCCACCACTCCATGGTTACGTGGACAGAAGTCCAAGCAGCTACGACGCCCAGCTCTAAGATCTTCGTCCCTCTCCAGCCCTTTCTCCTTTCCCGCGGGACGCCGAGTAGGCGTGGTCGGGCCATACCACGCCCTCTTCCCCCTCCCGCTCCTGCGCGCTTGGTGTAGTCCAGGTAGTTCCATGCACGCGGGAGCAGGGGCGAAAGCTGCGCAGCCGGCGTGGGCCCTGCGCTTGCGCCCAGTGGTGAGGTCCGCAGACCGTTCCACTGCGTGGGGCCAGAAGGGGTGCCGCGGCCGGTGACGCTCAGGCCGCAGCAGGACCGGGACCCGGGGCTGCAGCGGGAGCGACGCGCCGGCCGCCCGGTGGGGCTGGAGCCCCGCCGCGGCCCCAGGTAACGCCCAGCCTGGCTCCAACGCCGTGCGCCCGCGCCGCAGAGACAGCAAAGATGGAGCGATTGGGGGCGGCCACGGGCTGGCAGAGTAGCGCAGGACTTCCAGCGGGACCTCTCCCTGCGTCCGCAGGGCCGAAGCTCGCTGTCCCGGGACCCGGAGCCAGAGCCTCTCCACTTAAGTCCGTTCACTAGGTCCAAGTGCCCCATTCGCGGAGCCCCTGGGAACTACAAGTCTCAGCCTGCCCTGCGCACTGCGCATGCCCCGATTGTAACCCCCGGCGGGTCCAGGCTTCAGCTGCGGGCCCTGGCATCTGGGTTAGAGAACTGCGGGCATTTGGCCTCGTCACGTCCGTTCCATTTTACCGGCGCTCCCTGTGCCAACCTCTGGGGATCCAGAACGTCCTGGCCCCTGCTCTGGAGTGGTTGCGGTCCGGGACCAGATCACTGCACACCAGAGCCATCGTTAACTGCTTTCAGGATGTCGGATCGCCTGGGGTTGGGGGAACGGGGCGGGGCAGCCAGAGAGGGTCTGGTCCTGTCCAAGGTCACTCAACTTCCGTTGCCTGAGGGCCACTAAGCCTGAGTCTAACGGGTGTTAGAGGTAGGGAAGGCGGTGTGGGCAGGAAGGGGGTGGTGGGAAGCTGGCTTTCGAGTAGGAGAGACAGTTAAGATGGAGAGGAAATGGGGTATTTGGTCGGACTTATCTCCCTGGATCTGCTAGGCGCCGCAGTCCTGTAGCCCTCGGTTTTCATCTGTGGATGATATGGTGACCGTACCTGCTACCTGCTCTGCAGACCCAGGGGTGCCAGTGGTGAGAGCTGCAGGGAAGAGGAAGTTAGAAAGGACAGCCCCTCCCGGCGCCATACCCTCAAAGCTCCCACGTCCGAGCGCAAACCCAGGCCTGGAGAGTCAGGCAGGTACCCCCAAAGGTGCACACATAGGGAGAGAGAGAGCCACTGACTCTCTGAGGTGCTGTCGCCCATTTTACACTTGGCCAAATTGAGCCTCGGAGAGGGTGACTTCTGAAGGTCACACAGGCTGGCTTCAGCGGTTCTGTATTTAATCATCAGTGTGTTCCTGCCTTGTTGGCACATACTGAGTGCTCAGTAAATGTCACCTGTCACTAGTGTTGTTATCAGTGTCCTGATTTTACAAAGGAGAGACTATGAGGCAGAAAGAAGCCAAACAACTGGCCCAGAGTTTCAACGCTGGGGCCCAAGTGCTGCAGACCTGAGCCCCAATCCGGGAACACCTTTATAGGTACCCCACCCTCCCCCCATCTGCTCTTTCTAGGGGAGTCAGAGCTTGAGACTCAGATGTGAGGGCAGTTTGCTCAAGCCTGTCCTGGGCTGGCTCTGTGGGGCGCGGCGGGTGTCCCTGGGTGGTCTGCCTAGAAGCCTGCAGGGCCCTACTTCTCTGGAGGGCTTGAGGAGTTTTAGGAGAAGGGAGTGCAGCATTTTCTGACCCTGAGGAAGGGAGGGTGGCAGCCAGCTGTCCAAGCCCTTGTGTGGGCCAGTGCAGCAGGGCAGGGCCCCAGTGGGAACCAACATCCCTGCCTTCTTCCTGTTCAAGAGAGTCCCATCTCCTGCACAGGAGACCCAGGGATGGGGGCTGGAGCAGAGCAGCCATTGTTTTGCACTTGGAGCTATCAGAATTCAGATCCCCCTGTCACTTGTTTACCCTGTCACCTGGAGCCACCACTAGTCTCTGATCCTCTGTGGTCTCTCTCCTGTCCCAGGACTTCTGTGCTTTCATTAAACAGTCCTTGGGGCTGTTTGGACCCCAAGGTTGACATTTGCATGGCATGAACCAGACTTAATGTGAAATCAGGATGTGATCCCAGGTTTACCCCTTGATGGCTGTATGATGGTGGGTGAGTCACACCCCTTCTCCCCTGAGTTACCTCGTCTATAAAATGGGGCGAATACTTGTCATTGGAAGAACCAGTGAACCAATGATTAGGATGGGACTTGTCCAGACCATGCAGGAGGCCCTGGGACCCCAATTTCTGCACAGAACCTCATGGCAGATGTCTGGGCAAGGGTGAATCCCCTATTACCTGTGGTTTCTGGAACCCACTGGACCACACTTCCGGGATCTGTAGCAAGGGGTGTTACTTCCTGAGTCACCTTCCTCATCTGTATGATGAAAGTAGCAGAACTGGCCCTGCCGGGAGTGGGGGGTGGGGGGGTGGCAATGAGAATGCAGCTTGCAGGAAGTGTGCAGGCCACATCCCCACAGTGGAGTTCCAAAGCACAAGAGTCGGCAGGGAACCTGAAAGGGGATTTCATAGGAAAGTCCAGATTTCTGGCTTCTCTGGAAAATTGAGCCTCCTTCCCACTTATTCCAGAGTGATTCTACTTGCACTCGGGAAGGTATTGCAGGTTAGAGGGAGATGTGTTACTGGCCTCTGGCCCTAGGGAGAAGCCAAAAGTGCTGTAGGGGTTTCCTGAGGGCCCCAGGGGGTTGTGCGGGAGAGGAGGCTAGGGCAGGGCTTTCCTGGCCCCGTAGCCTAGGGCTGAGAGTCCAACCCAGAGCCCCTTCCGTGGCCATCCACCATGGCCTGTGAGCCAGGCCAGGGGGAGTCCCACCTGACGCAGGGTGCGGACAGTTGTGCTGTGTGTGGAGGAAGTCAGAGCAGCTGACTGCCAGAGACCAGGCGGTCTTTAAGCTGAGTCCCAAAGGCAGGGGTTTGCGTTAGGTGAGCAGAGGTTGCCTAGTGTTCTAGGCAGGGTGAATGGTACAGTCAGAGGCTTCAAGGATTGAAAGTACAGACCTGGATTGTGTCAGAAGAGTCACTTTCTGACTTGGGGAATGGGAAGGTTTCTTACTGTGTGGCCTGGGGCAAGTCAGTTCACCTCCTGGAGCCTTACATCATCACCCATAAAATGAGGTTGGTGGCGTCTGCCTCCCAGTGAAGGCTGGATGTTGTGCCCTTAAAAATTCTAAGTTCCCTCAGGCCAGTGGAGTATACAGTGATGGATTGTGACAGAGCTGTGTGCAAGTTAAATGGCATGAGGTGAAGGTCATGGTGCTTTGAGCTGAGTTTAGAGATGGGGCAGTTCGGTTCAAGCTGGAGACTTGGCAGCTTCCTTTAAGAGGTAAGATGGGAGCCGAGCCTCAAAGGGCAGAGAAGAGGGATGGGATTGGTAGAAAGGAGGAGAGGGCATCCTGGACGGGAAGGTGGCAGCAGGAAAGGCCAGGTGGAGCTCCAGCATGGTTGTGGGGGAGGGCTGGAGAGAGGGGGGTCTGAAAAGTTTTGTGGGGGGAAGCTTGGTAGGAGCACGTAGCTGAAGGCCAGGCAGCACGTTCTGTGCCCACACAGGCAAGCAGGGGGTTGCCTTGACATGTAGGCATCTTGGAATATGGAGAGAACTTTCTAATTGTGTTTGAATGGTGGGTTGCAGGGTTATAGGAGAAGAGAGTTGATAAGGTGACTAGAAAAAGCCATCTATCCCCCTGTATTATCCCCATCTATTCTTATACACACATAATGTTAACTGTGGTGGAGAGAGTGAGCCCAGCTTCCCAGGTACCGTCTGTAATGACGCATCAAGAGCTCGGTCTGTGCCTAGAGCTCAGTCTTGTGTTGCTGGCTGCGCGTACACGGTGCTACACAAGATTTCAGTAAGCGTGTCTGTTCCCCAAACTTACAGGTTTTTCTATTGGATACCTTTCCAGAAGGGGAAGTTATGACCAAAGGATCAGAAGTTTTTATGGCTTAAAACTAAAAACATACTCTTTGACAGGAATTTTCTTTAGACTTTTCAGTAGATTATATACTGTACAGGGTTGTTGTTGTTTTTTAAGAGCAAATGTACAAAAGCATGTACAATAAAAAGTCTACCCTCCTGACCCAGGAGTCTCTTACAGTTCTCCCTGAGGACAATTGTCAGTTTCTTCTATATTCTTCCACAAATATTCTGCAGATATTTTTGTATGTATCTATTTTTTAAAAAATAGATACATACTGTTATATTCTGTTGAGCATCTTGCTTTCAATATTTTTAAAATTTATCTTTAGAGAGGGAGAGAAGCACTGATGTGTGAAAGATACAGCGATAGGTTGCACCTCTTGCACACCCCTAAGTGGGAACAGGCATGTGCCCAGCCTGGGAATCTAAGTGGCAGTCCTTTGGTTCACAGGCCACTCAGTCCACTGAGCCACACCAGCCAAGCAGAGCTCATACACCATTCTTGATGGGGGCGGTTCCCAGCTCTTGGATATTTCGGGTACTACTGATCTTTTTGCTTAAATAATCAATATGGTGTTAATTTTCCACTTTGTATATCTGCCCAGGGAGGGCATCGCGTCAAAGGGGGAACTTCAGCTTTAGCTTAGGTTCAAACACATGGTCAGCCACACTTCCGTGGCTTGTGACCTGGGGGCAGTGATACTTCTCTTGATCCTCTTTACCCGTCTGTAAAATGGGCAGGTTGTACTAATCCTTCTGTCACATAGGTGCTGGGAGTATAGTAGAAAACTAAAAACTTGGCTGGCTTACTTCCCCAATCCCCCTTAGTCAAGAAGCAACTGAAGTGCCCGACGCCTACTTCTCTAGCTTCAAATGGTTACCCGCCCCTTCTCCTGGCCATGTTGGGGGCGGGGCATGTAAAATGTCTCTGTGACGTCAGTATGTGCAGGGCCAATCCCCCTGCCGGTTAGGCATTAGCTTATTTACATAGATAGCCCACTATTGGTTCGCTAGGCAGTGAGGGCCGTCCCAGCTTTTTAAAGCTGCCGCGCAGTATAAACTAGTAGATGTGGAGCAGCCAGACCCTGATGTCATCGAGCGCAGTACCTTTTGGGGTTGACGTCATTTCTGGGGAGCTTGCCGGTACAGAGCTGTTAGAGCTTTCCTAACCACTCGGGCTGGCCTAAGACGACCCCCCCCCAAATCCTAAGTGAAGATTGGCCCCACTGCAGTTCAGTGTCTCAGGTGGCGCCCTGCCTCCAGAAGGGAACCATGATACAGTAAGTCCGGGCTGCGGTTCTCTCGACGGGACCCATTTTTCCAGCAGGGAAACTGAGCCTCAGAGGGGCGAGTAGCTCGTGAGTTTGCTTAATGAGTTCGAATTGCAGCTGATTGGGTTTTCCCTCCTCCGAGTCTCCCATCTTTAGGTCTGGCCGTGTGGCCCCGCCCCTTGCCTGTGCTAGCTGCGGTCACTTTAAGTGCGAAAGTGGGGGCGAGTTTTTTTTCAATCTGCCTCCCAAAATGGCGGCTCACTAATCACGTGCCTAGCTGCAGCGAATGATTGGCTCTTGGGGCCCCAATGGGGCGGGGCTGCCGCGGGCAGCAGTCTGCTACTGTTTGTCGGAACCTCTTAGCGCGCTCCCGCGAGGCCCCCCTCCCACCTGACGCGCGACCCCGTCGCTCCCAATGTTGTGAATCAAATGTCGGGTTTGTTACATTCCGCTGGCGCGGCGGACAGTTCTTAAAGGGCCAGCCGCGGGCAGCTGCGCAAACCCATCCGCGTCCTGCGTCGCCTCCAGCTCCCGGAGAGTCTGGGCCGAGGCAGGCTTAGCGCGCGTGGGCCTCGGGAGGCAGACGCCAGCGGACCGACAACAAAGAGAGAGGGCCCCGGAAGGAGCAGGACTGCCCGCGGACTGGGGGTGGGGAGGGGAGCATATTGTTCCGCAGGGCGGGGGCTCTTAAAGGGTCCGGGCAGCCCTGCAGCACCACCACCGCCCCCTTGCCCAGCTTGGCCGCCCTAGATCGGGAACAAAGGAATCAACGTGTGTCCAGGCGGCTGAAGGTGAGTCAGGGCCAGAGCCCCCAACTCCCTATTTCCGCATCCCTGGAAACTGCTGCCCCCCTCCCTTAGGACTGGGGGCTGTGATAGAGCTGGCTCCGCAGGGGTTAATCACGGGAAGTCCGGCGGGGGCGGCGTAGGATCAGAGACACCCCCGTCCCAGCGACCCCCGAGGCCTCCACGAGTCCTCCTGCTCCAGAGTCTGGGCGCTGCGGTTGGAGAGGAAGGAGCTGCCCCCTCCCCCTGCCGCCGCCACTTCCTTTGTTGTTGCTTTTGTCTCACGCCGAGCACATGGTCCGGGATCCTCGACTCTTAAAGTCACAGCGCTCAAGCTCAGACGCCGCAGTCTGGCCTCCCGCCCCCTTGTCCCTCCAAACGCGGCACAAAGGAGTGAGATGGGGATGAGAGAGGCCCCTCTCCGGGCGGTGTCCACACCCTGGTATTCCATTCCCTGGGAGGGGTAGCTGAGGAAGCTTCCCAGAGGCCTGAAACCTGTACGTGGCCCACATTGAGGGACCCCCTAGGGGACAGTGGTTCGCTGCCCCACTAGTGCAGCCTCTTGGGAGTCTTGCATCTCTGGTCATCTGGTTTGATTTGGGTGCTCTGGGAAGGAGAGATTTCCATCCCCATTTTACAGTTGTGGCAACTGAGACTAAGAACTGAAGAGATTTCCTTGAGCAAGGTCACCCAGGGAGTCCGGGCTGGCCAAGCAAGAACTCTTAGTCCCAAGTCTGGCTGTCCTGGCCTGCCTCTTTTGGGGGTTGAGGAGAGAGTAGGAAGGGGCTTCTCATCCTGTTTAGTCTGTTCATGCTTTCAGACTGGCTTTCCTTATCTGCAAAACAGCACCTGAGGCCACCTGACATGACTTGAAAGGGGTTTCCCTAGACCCAGATGGGGGTGGCTGCTGGAGCACTTGAAGTAGGGAATTGGCTGCTTCCTGGGGGGGAGGGCATGGGTGCAAGGGATGGTGCCTGCTTCCAGGCAGGATGGGATTTAGGGTTGGGACTTCAGGGAGAGAGCACAGCACACAGGAGTGTGGAAAGGCAGAGCAGTTAGGGGGCGTCCACACTTGCTGTTTGACCTTGAGCCAGCTACTAGCTCTAACTGGGAGCCTCCCTTGCTTCTTTCCACAAGGGCAAGTTGCAGGCACCTTCAGGAGCACTCCCCTGATCTCCTTTAGGGCCTGGGATAGAGTTGGGATCAGGCGGTTCTAAGGGTTCCTGATGCTAGTGGGTGAGGCGGGGGTTGGGGGAATCTGGGCCCAGGCGGCCAGCCAGGGCCAGTGCTGTCCCTCTCTGGGTTTGTGGTCTAGAGAAGGTGACTTCCTTTCTTTGCGGCTCAGTTTCCTCAGCTGTGAAGTGGGTGTGTCCCCTCTGCTGTCTCCATCCCTAGTGGAACGTAGAACTTCAGGAACCAGGGGCCTCCTCCTTGCCAGCTGGGGTGCTCCCCTAGGGAGGCATGTACCCCAGCAACTGCTTGCAGAGCTTGAAGTGGCCCCTGATTTCTGCTTGGAGGGTGGGGATGAAGGTGAGCTTCTCTCACTACCTGACCGTGGCCGCTTGAACCTAAGTCTTGCAGACCGCTCCTCCTGGGGCGCACAGCCCTGGCCAGTGCGCTGGGAGTGGCCACCACGCTGCTCCCGCTCTGCAATGAAGAAGCGGAGGCTCTGGGAGGGGAAGTGCTGTGCCTGAGACTCTGGCCAGAGATCAGGGTGTCCTGTGTGAGAACGCAGGGACCAGCACTGCCTTCTCTGGAACCGTTGTCACAGCTGGAGCCTCTTCTGTCTTTTGGTTTGGGTTCTCAGCAACTTGCTTCTTCCCTTTCCTGAGGGTGAGTGTCTTTGAGGGGTTGGGCTCGGAGCAGATTCCCACGGGCCTGGGCCTCTGTGGGGTTCGCACACCTGTGTCTTAATGCTGCCCAGGCTTCAGCAAGACAGTCTGGCTCGAGGAGCGGTTGAGGCCACTGCCAGGGTCGTGTCCCGGCACACTCACACCTCCAGCTGCCTGCTTCTGAGCATGGCTATGTGAGGTCTCGTTGAGACGGCTCGTGGGAAGTATCACAGCTATTGTTAACATTCCTCATCAGTGGGACTGGGTTCCCAGGATCTCAGGTCAGAGTGGAGATTCCTAAGCCGAGCCTGACTGTAGAAACTGCTGGAGAATTTGGTAAAAGTCTAGGGGTCCTTGTTTCCCAACTGTAAAGATTCTGATCCAGGAAGTCTGGGGTTGGCCAGACCCCAGATACTCAAGTATCACCTCTGCGTCTCTCTTGGCCTTTGTTTGCTAGGCTGAATTGTCAGCAGGCATCAGGGAGGCTGTGTGAGTACATGCATGTGTAAGGATGTGCACCGTAGGGATCATACACCTAGTCACCTGTGGTGGGCAGGTGGGGAACAGTCCCAGGGGGGCCGAGCAGAAATGAGGGCCCATGGAACCAGATCCCCTGCCCCCCGCCACTCCAAAGGCAGGTCTGTATGTGGTCTCCCAGGTTTGAATTGCTGGCACTAGCTCCACTATACCAGACTGGCCTTGGCCCTGTGTGATGTGCGTCCCCACACCAGGCCTGCCCTGCGCTAGACATAAGTTGGTCACTGGGCCCTTCACCCCTCTGACAAGTGAGCTGGGTGGGAGAGGTGTGTCCCCAGCCCCCACTTCCTGGCTGGGCCTCCTGACAGCTGGAGAAGCACCTTCCTTGGAGAGTCAGGGCCCAGGCTTGAATGCCAAGCGCAAAGGAGGTGTCTTTGCCTCGGTTGGCAGGAAGGAACAAGGTGGGGAGGGGACAGTGCAGCTGCCTCCTGGCTCTGTCACCAGAGAGGCGACACCCACAGCCGGAGGGCAGGGACGCACAGGAGTTCCATCAGAGGGGAAGGGGCAGTGGGGGCCTCCCTCTGGCACGAGCAGCAGCGGCTGTGCAGGGGCCTCCTCCCGACTTACGGTAATGAGTGCCACCTCCAACTTGCCCCCCCTGAGCCCCCAGCTCCCAGGGAGGGAGAAGACCTGCCACACCCCATTCCCACTCAGCTTCCTCCCTTAGGTCCTGGCTTCTTCTCCCCCCGCCCCCCCCCAGCAAGCTCCACCTCCCACTTGGGGTATATGTGCAGCCTCCAGGGCAAAGTCCTGGCCTCTTTCCAGACCCACCCGACCAACCAGGGTGGCTGGCTTCCTTCGTCACCTCCTGGAAAGCCCTTCGGGCTGGACCCCTCCCCTCAGCCAAGATGCAGCCCGAGGCTTGTGGATAGCCCCCCTCCCAGTTTTGACCCTTGTGCAAGTCCCATCTTCCATCTGAGCCTCAGTTTCTCACCTGTAAAATGGAGCCAACAGTGCCTCTTAAGACTAGGTGAAGTCCCACGTGGACAGGCAGTGTGGGACTGGGTTACAGAAAGAAACAAAGCAACAGCCGGGTCCGTACCTGGAAAGGCCCCGAGCCAGAGAAGGGAGGGAAGTGGCCCGGCAGGACTTTCCCATGAGGGGCAGCCTTGCCTTGGACTAGGTGTCCCCAAGGGCAGGAACTGGGTCAGAACCTGGCAACAGAGGAAGAAGGAAAACCAAGCCTCAAACCTGATTGGAATCCCCTGAGCCAACCAGATGGGAGGGAGGAAGCTAGAGTCCCCCTCCTTCCTGGAGGCCAACATTGAGACCGCACACCTGAGCATGCCCTGGGTACCCACACTGGGGGAGCCTTACCTGGGCCACCTGGCCCAGAAGTGTGCAGGCCAGCCCTCTGAAACTACCACAGCCCTCAGGAACTTGCTGCTGGTCTGCAGAGCGGAAGACTGCAGCCTGGGCCCCCTGCAGGCCAGGCTTGTCCCTGGGCTCAGTCCCGAGCCCAGTGCCCAGAAGAGGGCTGGACCCAGCGAGCCTGTGTGTGGGCATGGGAGCACGGGTGGGGGTGCGTGTCAGTGGCCCAGGAATCGGACTGCAGGAGTTTGAGTCTGCCTCTCAGACCCCCATGGGGCAAGTGACTGGACTTCTCTGTACCTACGTTTCTGTGTCATTTTGACTTACAGGGTCGTGAGCCCCGGCCCAGCCCCTCCACTTCTCTGCCACCCCTGATGCGACCATGGGCTCTGGCAGTGACTAGGTGGCCCCCCTCCACACCTGTGGGTCAGCGGCGATTGTCTGCGGGACCTGGCAGCACCCCGGCCTGGCTCTGGGGAAGGTAGGAGGGAACCTCCTAGGGCTCCTGGGGCTGGGGTTCAGGGGCCGGGGTGGCGGGGCACAGGGCCCTGAGCCTTCTTCCCTCCGCAGTGGGTGGTGACCTCGGCTTCCCTCCATGCCTGTGAGTGAGTGGCCCCCCTTAGTCCTACCCGGGCCTCCTCTCTGTGGTGCAGCCCTGGCCGTGAGGGCCGCCTGCCTGCCCAGGATGAGCGCTCACCCTCCCAGCAGCCGCCGCCCCGACCGCCACTCTTCCCCGTAGAAGAGCACCGAGCCTCGGCTCCTGCCGGCGGGAGCCCCCGAATGCTGCACCCAGCCTCCCAACAGAGCCCCCCGTTCATGGTCGACATCCACGAGCAGGTAGGCAGCACACCCCCGCCCCCCAGCCCAGCTCTCTGTGGAGCAGACATAGCCAGGCCCTGCTTCACAGGTTGGTAAACTGAGGCCCAGAGAAGGGGAGGGCCACCCTGGGGCCACGCAGTGGATGAGTGGTAGAGATGGCAGCCCACTCAGGTTCCCCGAGGGTCCCCTGCCCTTTGGGGAGTGGGGCAGAGGAACGGCCAGGTCTGCACCCAGGTCAGCCCCAGCTAGAGCAGGGAGGGAGGTGGCCCGGCAGGACTTTCTCACGGCTACGCTTCCTCCCAGCAATTCGGGCCCTTCTCTGCCCACAGGTGCACCAGGGAGCCGTCCCCCTGTCCTACACAGTCACCACAGTGACGACCCAAGGCTTCCCCTTGCCTTCAGGCCAGCACATCCCTGGCTGCAGTGCCCAACAGCTCCCAGCATGCTCCGTGATGTTCAGTGGGCAGCACTACCCGCTCTGCTGCCTCCCACCCCCGGTGAGTGAGGGCCTCTGCCCCCCCTTCCATCCCCACGAGAAGACCCAGCACAGGCCATGGCCCAACCACCAAGCTCACCACGCCCATCCGTGCCGGCAGAGCACCAGTGCGCTGCGCCCAGCCTCCCGACAGCCTGTTTGGGGTGGCACCTGCTGACAGTGCAGAGTATAGCATCCTGCCTGGGTGGCCGAGGCTAGGGGTGGGGTGGTCATTCCAGGGGGCCTCGGCGGGGTCTGTTGCTGGATGGGCTGGTGGCCCTGGCCCTGGTCACAAGCACAGGGCCAGCCCAGAAGAACCTTCTCCAGCCCCTGCCCCTCTCTCGGCAGCTGATCCAGGCGTGCACCATGCAGCAGCTGCCTGTGCCCTATCAGGCCTACCCCCACCTCATCTCCAGTGACCACTACATCCTGCACCCCCCACCGCCAGCCCCACACCCCCAGCCCACCCACATGGCGCCTCTGGGGCAGTTCATATCGCTGCAGACCCAGCACCCGCGGATGGTGAGTCTGGGTGATGGGGCTGGCGCCAGAGGAAGCAGCCTGTGGGGCGGGGCCTTCCCTGTGACTGGCTCCCGCTGACCCACACCCGCCTCTCCCAGCCCTTGCAGCGGCTGGACAGTGATGTGGACCTGCGGGGGGATCAGTACCCCCTGGGGAGCTTCGCCTACTCCACCTCTGCCCCGGGCCCAGCCCTTTCCCCGTCTGTGCCCCTGCACTACCTGCCCCACGACCCGCTGCACCAAGAGCTGTCCTTTGGAGTGGTGAGTGCCGCCTCCTGGGCTCGGGGATGGTGGGAGCCGAGCCCACCGGCTCACCACTGCCCTCGTCACAGCCCTATTCCCACATGGTGCCACGGAGACTGAGCACCCAGAGGTACCGCCTGCAACAGCCGCTACCGCCGCCGCCGCCCCCGCCACCACCCCCACCGCCGTATTACCCCAGCTTCCTGCCCTACTTCCTGTGAGTACCGACACATCTGTCCCAGACCATGGTGCTCTGTTCTCCTGGGGCCTCCAGTGGTGAGACCCCGCATAGCTGGTGGCATCTGGGCCTCTCAGGCCATCTGGCACTCCAGCAGACCACGCATCTGCAAGCACGTGCACCAGCTGGGCTATCCCTTCTTGCCATGTCTTGGGGCAAACGCTGCACCCTAGTGCCTGCTGAACTTGACTGGGCACCCCTGTGCCTTTGTCCCCTAGCTCGATGCTGCCAATGTCACCAACAGCAGTGGGACCCACCATCAGCCTGGATCTTGACGTGGACGATGTGGAGATGGAGAACTATGAGGTGCCACAGAACCCTGTTCTGGGAGGTGGGATCTTGGGGACCTCCAGCCCAGGCCACCACTGACCCGGTCCCCTTCTGCCCATATGCAGGCCCTCCTGAGCCTGGCAGAGCGGCTGGGGGACGCCAAGCCCCGAGGACTCGCCAAAGCGGACATAGAGCAGCTCCCGGCCTACCGCTTTAACCCGGACAGCCGGCAGTCTGAGCAGACGCTGTGAGTGCTGGGGACCCCTCCGGGGGTGGGGCCTCGGGGTCTGCCTAGAGCTTTCCCTCGCCGGCGGGGCAGCATGCAGGGGATGGTGCTCTCTGCTCTCCCCCAGGTGTGTGGTCTGCTTCAGTGACTTTGAGGCACGGCAGCTGCTCCGAGTCCTCCCCTGCAACCACGAGTTCCACACCAAGTGTGTCGACAAGTGGCTGAAGGTGATGCAGCCCTGGGCACTCTTCCTGTCCTGAGAGGGGAGGGCTGGACTCGGGGCCACGTCCCTGCCAGGCGGCGGAAAAGACCCAGGTGGGATAGGGGGCAGGCGTGAGTGGGGTCTGATGTGTGGCTGCTTACCCCCGCCCCAGGCCAACCGGACGTGTCCCATCTGCCGGGCCGACGCCTCTGAAGTGCCCAGGGAGGCCGAGTGAGGCCCACAGCTGCCCGTGAGAGCCCTGCCTGAAGCTCTGGAAACTCGGGAAACCCAGGGAGGGTGGGGCAGGAGTGGCCCGGGCCTGTCTGGTTGTTTTGACTGTATCTCCAGAGCTGGTGCCGGGGTCAGCTCTGCAATAAGCCCCTGCGTTTGCCAAGCTCCAAAGACCCCATCCCCAGTCTGCCTGCCGGTCTGCCCGCCACGGAGCCGCCTGAGGGTCCCTAACTCAGTCTCCCTCCCATTTGCCCTCCGGTCCAGCTCCTCCTCCTGACAGCTCGGGGAGCCAGGGGTCTGTTCCCCCAGCCCAGTTGGTGAAAACCCTTGGCCCTAGGATGGGCAGAGGCACCATCCTGGGTTACACAGTCTCGCACTGAAACAGTGTGCCCTCTTCCCAGGTGGCACTGACAGGCAAAGACAGTGGCATGAGGCTGTTCCCGACCCGCAGGCCTTGGTCCTCCAGCCTTGATCCAGTCGGACAGCCCTACCCAGCCTGCTGGGAGAGGCGGGCCGGGCTCCCTAGAGGCCCCTTGCCCCAGGCACAACATTCCAGCCCCACCCCCAGGCTGGAGGGCCCTGAGCATGGGCCACAGGTATCCTGAGGGGCCTGGGCCAGACCAGGGAGAGTGACCGGTGTCCTGGTGGCCACTCCTCCCTGGCAGTGACAGGGGCCAGACCCTATGTCCAGTGTCCCCTTTCTGTCATTTTGCATGAACGTGAGGAGTAGCAGCTTTCCTGTATTCATTTGGCCCAGAATCACGTGTAGGATTTGGGAGTGTGGGTTTTTAAACAATGTTTCCTCTGTTAAATGGGCGGCTTAGGGACCACCCAGGACTGAGTGCCCAGGGGGCAAGGAATGGCCCGCTGGTGCTGCCCAGTCCACACACTCATGCGCAGCCGGGGCCCGGCCTGCGGCTGGCGGTCACAGGCAGAGTCGGGGGGGGGGGGGGGTCTGTGCTCAGCTGATAACTGCCATGCACTGTACTGCGCACGTCTGTCCCCCGAGCCCACCGGGACCGTGTGCTTTTCAGGGCATTTCTCCCTCCAGCCAGGGCCCGTCCCCGCCTGGGCGCATCTCCAGGGAAGTCCCAGGGGGACAGGGCCCCCTCCCAGCCTGAGCCCTGCCACCCCCCCAGGTCTGGAGTAGGCCCCAGCAGGGTCTGGCTGAGCTCCCTTCCCTCGCCCCCCCTGGTCTCTCCTGCCCTACTCCCCGCTGGGGTTGCTGCCCCGAACGAACTGCGTGTGGGGCCGGCACATCCTAGCAGGCAGCCCCTGGCGCCTGCTGCCTCAGGGATGCTCCAACCACCCTCGTTCCCCTGCAGCGGCCCCTGCTCCTGCCTCCCCCCCCCGCCTGCCACGGGGCCTCGTCAGCCTGGCCCCACCCCCGTGGAGAACCCAAAGTCTTACTGTATATAACTCCAGGTGATGTTTCTATATTTATAGCAGTGTCGAAACCCCGTGTGTTTTACACAGAACCACCCTCTCCGACCCACCCTTCCTCACCCTGACAAAAGGTTTCAAGACCCTCCAGTCCTGGGGGTGGGCCGGGCAGGCTCTCGGATTGTGCTGGCTGCCGCAGGGTCCCACAAGCAACTGTGGTGGGGCGGGGGCAGGGGGGGCACAACATTTTAAAAAATCATTTAAAAAAAGATTTATAAAACAATTATTTAGGATGTTTGTGATTTGCCGACCTTGCTATAGATGCCATGTTACCAATGATTTCCTATGGTGGGGGCTTGCTGATGTTTACTCACTTCCCAGCTTCTGGCCTGGGCACGGCCGTGGGCAGCATCCCCAGCCTGGCTGGGCCTGGCACCTGTGTTCTGTGTTAGAGGGGCGTTTTATATATATGTAACTGCATATATAGAGAGAAATATATGTACTTTGGGGGCCCTGTTCCTTGCACATTTTACAGTTACCTCATTCTTCCCATGTATGTATTTGAGAAAAAATGCTAATATATAGAGAAAAAATTGTTCTTAAAGCTTAAATGTGTGGTTTTTTTCCATTCCATTGGATTCACATTGGTTTGTAGCATTTAACATGACTAGTATGTTGTATTATATATATATGTGTATACTGATTGAAATTTTTAACAGATTTGTACTTTTTTTAAAATGAAAGTTGCTAGTTCTGCTTGACCAAGTAGTGCAATCATTATTTTTTTTAATATTGTTGCTGATTTCAGAGGGATATTCACTAATAAATGTATGATGTATATCGCGTATTGCCGAAGCTGCCTGTTGCTGCCTGTGTTCTTTGGGTGGGGTGTGGGGGCAGGGGTGTCCATCTGAGTGTGGGTGGGCATCCCCCGGAGGGGGCGAGCTGAACGGAGAGGCGGCAGAGGTCCTCTGCGGGGGAACCTGGTGTGTCCGTCTCCCCGCCCCCCATAGAGACGGTCCTACCCAGAGGGTTTAATGGTAACTGCCTCTCTCACAAATGAGGCAGGAGTATGTTACCAAGTGACAGGATTCTTTTTAACTGGTTTGAGGAAAGGGTCACTTACTGGGGTCCTATTATTTAAATTCTGTTCCAATGTGACAGGGACAGGATCCTTTCTTCTTACAACTTCGTTTCAAAGGCGTTCTTTCTGCGTCGTGCTTCTTGGTAGCTCTAGCTCAGTTTTCTGTCACTTCTCGGGACCTCCATGGGAGACCCGTTTATCCTGGGAATTCTAACAATCTGGGGTGGAGTCTGGTCACACCAACTTGAGTTGTGTGCCTGCCCGTGGACCCTTGCAACCCTCAAGGAGCTGCAACACCAGCATGACTTGGCCTGCATGAGACACCACCTGCCCGGACCTGGCCTGCCCGAGCATGTGTGATGAAGGGCCTGAGAACCACCAGGGGGCCCCGACGGCCGGGCGACGTTCCCCTGGCCCAGGCCCAGGCCGTCTGGAGTGCCGCAGGAAACCACGTGGGCTGGGGCTGAACGCCTGGGGCCTTGTCTGGTGTCTGCGCTGCTCCTCTGTAACCCTCCCTGGCCAGGGTCCTTTTCTTCCAGGCTTTAGGAACAGAATCCGATGCATGATTTTCTAAGCGTGATTCCAACACAGTCCTGTGGGAGCATGGCAGGGTTTGTGCAAACAAAAGGACTCTCCGATCAAGTTCAGGGACCCCATGTGGAAGGCAACGGGAGCCCGAGAGGCAGGCTTTTCTGAGCCTTGGCTCTGCCCGTGCGTGAGGTGAGTATCTGGGAGCAGGTACACACTGTGGGCAGCATGTCCCTTGGGCCACATGTAGGGCTCAAGTCACATTCTGTGGAGCACACTGGGAGACGGGGACCGGACCAGTGGGCCCTGGTCTGAGAAAACTGTCAGGTGAGGGACTCCTAAGCTTTTTACAGTATTTCAAGGAATACTGAAAAGAATCCTGGGAAGGGGAAAATCACAGGATCATATCAATGGATGCAAAATAAGATTGTCCAAATGCATTTGTGATAAAAACTCAGCAAGCCAGCAGGAGAAGGTGACTTCCTCAACTTGATATAGAGCATCTACAAAAAACCCAGGTGCTAACATTGCACTTAATGGGGTGAAAGACAATGCCCCCCACTAAGATCAGGATAACCAAGTAGACACTCCCCAGTCCTAGCCAGCACAATAAAGCAAGAAAAGGGAAATAAGGTCAGGCCTGCAGACAGAAAAGGAAGACATAAAACTCCCTATTTGCAGATGATCCGATGAAAATCTATGTAGACAATCCCAAGGAATCTACAGAAAAAAACATTCCTAGGACTACATGAGTTCATCAGGTCATAGCATACAAGGTCAATATAAATTAATCGTATTCCTGTATACTAACAATGAACATGAGGAAATTGAAATTAAAAACAAGGCCACCATTTGGAATCACTTAAAAGAGACACGAAGCAGGTGTACACCTAACACAATGCTACAAGACTTGCACAGTAGGTCCCTCTTACCCACAGGAAATACGGCCCAGGTCGCTCAGTGGATGCCTGAAGTGACAGTACTGAACCTTATATAGGCTGGGGGTGGGGGGGAGTTGTTTTAAAGGTTTTATTTATTTTTAGAGAGAGGGGAAGGGAGAGGAGAGGGAGAGACATCAATGTGTGGCCGCCTCTCGTGCACCTACATAAATGAAGAAACATGTCATTTTTTGATAGGAAGACGTGACTCAGCATAGCAGAGATGTCATTTCTTCCCACATTGACCTGTAGGTTTAATGCAATTCCTATCAAAATTCCAGCAAAGTGGGGTTTCTTTTTGAGATGAAGGCAAATTTATATAAAAAGGCAAAGATCCCAGAGCAGTGAAGACAATTTTGAAAAGAAAAATACAAAAATCACTCTCCTTGACTTTAGACTTCCCGTAGTGCTGCCTTAACCCACGCGTGGCCGGAGGAGCAGGCGAGCAGAGCAACGAGGTGGAGAGACCGGAAACAGACCCGCGGAAGAACGGCCACCTGCTTTGCGACAGCTGGGAAGTCTTTCTTTTCGACAAATAACACTGGAGTAATTGGACTTCAATAAGGAAAAAAAAGAGGAATTGGCCTAAATCTCCCACTTTGTACAGAAGTGGACACAATGTGGACCATACAGAAAGGAAGGAAGTTGGGAGGAGGTGGACGAGGGTGGGATGAATGGTGATGCAGGGAGCCTCACCTTGGGGGTGAACACACAACACAACATACAGATGACACGGGATGCTACACCTGACACCTATGCACTTTTATTAACCAATGTCATCCCCAATAAAGTCAATGAAAAATTAAAAACTTAAAAAAAAAAGCACCATTGCCTGGCTGGTGTGCTCAGTGGGTCGAGCGCTGGCCTGCTAACTGGAAAGTCACAGGTTCAATTCCCTGTCAGGGCACACGCCTGGGTTGTGGGCCAGGCGCCCAGCTAAGGGCAGGTGAGAGGCAACTGATGGATGTTTCTTTCTCACATCAATGTTTTGCTCCCTCTCTTTCTCCCTCCCTTCTCTCTTTGAAAATAAATACATAAAGTCTTTAAAAAAAAATTTTTTTAAAGCTCTGACTGGTGTAGCTCAGTGGATTGAGCACGGGCCTGTGAAGCAAAGGGTTGCTGGTTCAATTCCCAGTCAAGGCACATGCCTGGGTTGCAGGCCAGTTCCTGGCAGTGGGTATACCAGAGGCAAACATACATTGATATTTCTCTGCCTCTCTCCTTCCCTTCTCCTCTGAAGATAAAAAAATAAAATCTTTAAAAAAAAAACTTTGAAAATTTGGCAAAAAACAGTTTAGTTAAAACAGCAATTTTCTACCTTCTTAATTTCATGTCACACATAAAGTAATTACTAAAATTCTGTGGCACACCAAAAACATAATTTTTGCCAATCTGACAAAAAAATTTAATACAATTTCAATTTATTAACACCAGACGACTGCTGTTGTTTTTGCTGTTGTCATTTTTTAATTTGACCATCTAAGGGAAGAGAGGTCAGTGCCCCGACTAAATAAATAGTCAGGCATTACATGTTTTAAAAATTCTTGCAGTACACTGGTTGAAAATCTCTTGGAACAGACTTCCAGCCGAGACGGAGGCATAAGTAGACACACTGTGCCTCCTTGCACAACCAAAAGAAGGCCAACAACAAATGTAAACACAAAAAACAACCAGAACTGACAGAAAATGGAACTGTATGGAACTCTGACAACCAAGGAGTTAAAGAAGAAACACGCACCCAGACCTGTAGGAGGGGCGGAGATGGGCAGCCGGGTGGAGAGGACTCCCAGTGAGGAAGTGGCTGGAGGACTGGGGCATCCCATATTCATGTGCAGATAAACCAGGAGGGACAACTGGGGAGCAAGACAGACCCACAACCCAGGGCCCCAGCAGGGAAATAAAGCCTCAAAACTCTGACTGAAAACAACTGTGGGGGTTGAGGCAGCAGCGGGAGAGACTCCCAGCCTCACAGGAGAGTCCATTGGACAGACCCACAGGGTCCTAGAATGTACACAAACCCACCCACCTGGGAATCAGCACCAGAAGGGCCCAGTTTGCTTGTGGGAAGCAGGGGAAGAGACTGAAATCTGGCAGAGAACAGAGCAAGTGCCATTGTTCCCTTCCCTAACCCTCCTGCATGTACAGTGTCACAACACAGCCATGTGAGTTGCTGCCCCCCCCCATGAACACTTAAGGCTCCGTCCTTTATATGTAACAGGTGTGCTGAGACCAAAAAAAAAAAAAAAAAAGGCCTAAATGAAAGACCAGATCAAAGCTCCAGGAAAAATACAGCTAAGCAACAAAGAGATAGCCAACCTATCAGACGCACAGTTCAAAACACTGGTAAACAGGATGCTCACAGAATTGGTTGAGTATGGTCACAAAGTAGAAGAAAAAGTGAAGGCTCTGCTAAGTGAAATAAAGGAAAATGTACAGGAAACCAACAGTGACAGGAAAGAACCCAGGATTCAAATCAATGGTTTGGACTAGAAGGAAAAAAAGAAACCAGAACAGAATAAAGAAACAGGAATTCAAAAAAATGAGGAGAGGCTTAGGAACCCCCAGGACAACTTTAAACATTCCAACATCAGAATCATAGGGCTGCCAGCAGGAGAAGAGGAAGACCAAGAAATTGAAAGCCTATTTGAAAACATAATGAAGGAGAACTTCCCCAATTTGACAAAGGAAATAGACTTCCAGGAAATCTAGGAAGCTCACAGAATCCCAAAGAAGTTAGACCCAAGGAAGCACACACCCAGCCACCTACTAATTACATTAGCCAAGATTAAAGATAAGGAGAGAATCCTAGAAGCAGCAAGAGGAAAGGAGACAGTCACCTACAAAGGAGTTCCTATCAGACTGTCAGCTGATTTCTCAAAAGAGACCTTGCAGACAAGAAGGGGCTGAAAAGAGGTATTCCAAGTCCTGAAAGGCAAGGACCAACACCCAAGATTTCTCTATCCAGCAAAGCTTTCATTTGGAATGGAAGGGCAGATAGAGTGCTTCCCAGATAAGATCAAGTTAAAGGAGTTCATCATCACCAAGCCCTTACTCTATGAAACGTTAAAGGGACTTATCTAAGAAAAAGAAGTTAAAAAATATAAACACTAAGGGACTTCCGCCAAGATGGAGGTATAGGTGGATGTGCCGTGCCTCCTCACACAACCAAGTTTAGAGACAACTAAATATTAGCAACAGAAAACACAGCCAGAACACGGAAAATTGAACTTTTTGGAAGTCCGTTAACAACAAATTCTTCAGCCTGACCGGTAAGGGGCGAAACCAGCGGCTGGTGAAGC